GTGACAGCATGCTGCTGGAGAGCTTCTTTTTATGGAAAGTCCATCATAATGTGCTAGTATGCGATGCAAGGAATTTTTTTTTCAAGCTGCAGGTTTACTACTGCTTTAAGATAAAAATTGACTTATTTTGGGTGAAATAGTCGAGTACACTTACATAAAAGTAAACAGAAGATGTATCAGTATGTAACAAACAGCCTTTAAATGCTAGGAATAAAATCAAGCAGAGAGATAACATTCACGGTTGAAAGAACCAGTCTGAAAAAGTCCATCCATTCAGAATCCCATGAGGACATGATAAAGATCAATTATACATTAAATTACTACTTCCATGTCAAGCTTTGAATATGAGTTAAAAATAAATGTGTATACTAGAATACTGCAACAGCAATGATGCTAACCATATAAAAATAGTAATGAAAAGCAAATCTAGCACAGTATTTTCACTTTACTTGATAGTACTGTATACTAAATATTTGTTTTATAGTGTGGATGAATACAACCAAAGCCTTTAACTTCATTTTACAGATTTACAAAATGATTTCCTTAGCTTCAGCATTACATACTTTTATTGGACAAAGGGACTATTTGGGGTAACAGTACAAATGGACAGGACTACATAGACAAACATTGCAAACAATTTTCATTTTAAGGCTGAACAGCATACAACAAAGAGATCTCTTATGAGAATGGGGTGTGTAAGACTAGACTGAAACCCCCGAATTAACATGTTACCAAAGATGTCTGCAAAGGTTCTCATTTATTCAGGTCATTATGTAGTTATGTAATGTGGAAGATATTTTTTTGCTATTCATCCAAGTAGCTTCCTCAGCTTTGATGAGCACTAGAAACATACATGAGCATTTATAGCTGCCCAGGTAACACGATAACCTTAACTGAATCACCATGAAATGTGTCAAAGCAGTGGTTGATTGTCCAATAACAAAATAGAAAATATGAAAGTTTGTGAAGCCACCCTGAGCTTGGGAAGCTTGGCAGAGTAGTAAAATGTCTTTAACATTACAGAACAAGTCCAAAATAGTGTACAGTTGCAAGAAAAAGTATGTGAACCCCTTGGGATTACGTGGAGTTTTGCATGAATTGGGCATAAAATGTGCTCTGAACGTCATCTAAGTCACAACAATAGAAGAACACAGTCTGCTAAACATAATACTACACAAACATTAGATGTTGCCATGGTTTAATTGCACATAACGTAAACATTCACAGTGCAGGGAGGAAAAAAAAGTATGTGAACCTTTGGACTTAATAACTGGTTGACCCTCCTTTGGCAGCAATAACCTCAACCAAACGTTTCCTGTAGTTGCAGATCAGACCTGCACAACGATCTGGATTAATTTTGGACCACTCCTCTTCACAAAACTGTTTCAGTGTAGCAATATTCTTGGGATGTCTGGTGTGAATCGCTCTCTTAAGGTCATGCCACAGCATTTCATTCGGGTTGAGGTCAGGACTCTGACTGGGCCACTCCAGAAGGCGTATTTTGTGCTGTTGCAGCCATTGTTTTGTTGAATTACTTGTATGCTTTGGGTCATTGTCCTGTTGCATCACCCATCCTCTGCGGAGCTTCAGTTGGCGGACAGATGGTCGTACGTTTTCCTGCAAAATGTCTTGATAAACTCTGGAATTTATTTTCCCATCAATGACAACAATCCGTCCAGGCCCTGAGGCAGCAAAGCAGCCCCAAACCATGATGCTCCCTCCGCCATGTTTTACAGTGGGGATGAGGTTTTGATGTTGGTGTGCTGTGCCTTATTTTCTCCACACATAGTGCTGTGTGTTCTTCCCAAACAACTCAATCTTGGTTTCATCTGTCCACAGTATATTTTGCCAGTAGTGCTGTGGAACATCCAGGTGCTCTTTTGCAAACTTCAAACGTGCTGCAATATTCTTTTTGGACAGCAATGGCTTCCCCAGTGGTGTCCTCCCATGTACTCCATTCTTGTTTAATGTTTTCCTTATTGTAGATGTGTCAACAAAAATGTTAGCATGTGCCAGAGATTTCTGTAGGTCTTTAGCTGACACTCTGGGATTCTTCTTTACCTCATGCAGCATTCTGCGCTGTGCTCTTGCAGTCATTTTTACAGGACGACAACGCCTAAGGAGAGTAGCAACAGTGCTAAACTTTCTCCATTTGTAGACAGTCTGTCTTACCGTGGACACATGAACATCAAGGCTTTTGGAGATACTTTTGTAACCCTTTCCAGCCTCATGCAAGTCAATAATTCTTGATCGTAGCTCGTATTCTGAGAGCTCTTTTCTGCGAGTCATGGTTCACATCAGACAGTGCTTCTTGAAACAAGTAAACCTAAAACAGGTGTGTATTTTTTAAGGGCAGGACAGCTGTCAGCAACACATCCAATATCATCACACTGATTGGAATCAAGGTTGGCTCACTCCTGGCTCCAATTAGCTCTGGGAGAAGTCATTAAGCTAGGGCCTCACATACTTTTTCCTCCCTGCACTGTGAATGTTTACCTGTTATGTGCAATTAAACCATGGCAACATCTAATGTTTGTGTAGTATTATGTTCAGCAGACTGTGTTCTTCTATTGTTGTGACTTAGATGACGTTCAGAGCACATTTTATGCCCAATTCATGCAAAACTCCACGTAATCCCAAGGGGTTCACATACTTTTTCTTGCAACTGTACCTAACTACTACTGGGTAAGCCACCAAATAATTTGCAGCATCTATTGATTGACTTGAATACGACCAACCTGTTGGGTTTCTACCAAATCAACAGTGCAGCTGGCTAAAGCCGGAAACAATGATCCTTGTATTTTGACGGCGGGGAAGTTTCGCTGTTGTCAGAATACAATAGCTCAGGTGGAAAAATTCCCCCATCCACATCATAAGAGTCGATGGGGAAATCGACTCATTCTTTTTGGTCAACCACATGGTTGAACAATAAAAAATGAATCATGTATGCCCGGTTTCTACTCTTCTAACTTATTAACCTCTTGAGCTACAGAGCTCTGCAGAATGGCTGTCACAGTGGTCACATGATCAGGAGATTTGACAACTTGGTCTTTCAGTGAGTGTGCTCTCAGCACAGAAACTTTGGCAACCCATTGAAGCATATGAGCAGCGTGTGGGCAGCAAGAAGTTAAATTGTATTTTATATTCCTGACCATAATTATAATAGCATGTACTGTATAAAAATAGCTACATTTTCCCTTTAGCACATGACAGTGATCTTTTTCCCCAAAGACAACAACAGGGAATCGAAGCAAAGCACATGCCAACGTGTGCATTAGAAGGGCATGAAATGACATGCATTTATCTAAAGAGTGAATACAGCCTTAACCTTTTAGTATAATCTTTATTTATTTAAGAGATGTTGGTTCAGCATTCGCAGTACAGCATTATCATTACAGAGCTTGGTACAGAGTCTGCAATATGATATAAAAAGTTAGTACACAGCAAATATGTCTCAGATATGTCTCTGCACCATTTCTCAAACTCAACATGACATTTTAAAGAAAATCCGGGCCAACAAAATAATCTAGGGGAGAGATACAGGGAAGGGTGGGGGATGTAGTGAGATCCCTACCTTATAAACAGGTTACATGGTCAAATAGTGAAACCACTGGCATACAAGACATCTATTACTGTATCTTATGTCCCATGTGTAACTACAGGGGTATTTATCCACTTGCCATTACCATTTACCACAATGTGAAAGCCCAATTTGTCCTGAAAAAAAACAATGTATCATTCACCTGGATGCACAAAATAGTTGTGATGATATCTACAGTTTTACTAACACATGACAAAGTTGCAATATTGTGCTTAGGAATTAACATTTGTTTTACCCTTAGGCGCAAAGGGGTAAACTTTTCAAAGTCAAACGTGTAAAGTTAAAGTAGAGCTCCACCCAAAAAGGGAAGTTCCGCTTTAATGCCTTGTCCCCCGCCCCCAATTAAGGATCGGCACCTTTGGGGAGTGGGGGGGAGCGAATACTCACTCCCACTTCTAGGCGATTGGAAGCAGAAGTCTCCCTCCCTGTAGTCTTGTGGGACACGTGACAGATCCCAGAAGGCTACGGGGCCATTCACAAAGCACAGCGCTTCTCGAGCATGCACAGTGGGCACCCGGCTGTGAAGCTGCAAGCTGTCACAGCCGGGTGCCCACACTGAAATTGCCGGCGCCAGGGAGAGAAGATGGCCGGTGAAACCAGAGGTGGTGACGACACCATTGGACTGAGGAATAGGTAAGTGGTTGTATTTTAACCTCCCTAGTGGTCTGATTATGTCCATATTTCTGTGCTCAAAGCGGTAATTTTTTTGCATGGAAATATGTTGTTTTTTTTATTGTAGGCCTGTAATTTTTAGGAATAACTCACTGAAATCTATCCGAGCAAGAGTCTAGTAAACGTCCTGGGTATGTTAAAATTTGAAACACAAAATCATAAATTAAAAATGTAATAAATAATCATAAAAAATAATAATATAATATTAATACATTTAATTCAATAATATAATCAAACCAAAAACACTGAAATTTGAAATAGAGCGCCAGTTCGCACATCACTGAGAAAGTCGCAAAATCGTTTTCAGTGTCTGATGACGAATTTCCCCACGAATCATTATCACTCAATTCTGCAAGTGGTTCTGATTTACTATCGCTGTTCTCTAGCTGGTCTAAAGCCACTTTTGACCTAAAGGGACGCTTTGTGGACGCCATGGACTTTTCTTAGTTTCAAGGCAGAAAGAACAGTAAAAATTTAAGCAGGGCACAGGACAAAGCACTAGGGACAAAATGTATGTGAAATGGTTTGATACAGTAATGTTTTACTATGAGATTTTAGTGAATTTAATCAATGTCACTTTTAAAATGTTCACATTTCCCACCAGTTCCGCCCCATACGTCCTGACGTCGCAGGGAACGGAACACAGAAGACAGATGCCGGCATGAGCTGAGGAGGACATTGCATGGGACACTACAGGAGGGACATCGCGGGAGTGCAGGACAAGGTAAGTGCAGAAGAGCAACGCTGCAAGGTATTCCCGAGTGTAGCGCGGGGTTACCGCTTGTGGTGCTGAAACTTTACCCCGAGCTACACTCGGGAATACCTCCAGGGTTTTTTTTTTTTTAGGTGGAACTCCGCTTTAAAATAAACACAGTATTCTACTGTGAGTATCCCAAATAACATTGGGGAGTTTGAACTGAGTTCCCAGGCTTATGCCAAAGGTACCCAACTATTAAAGGGTAAACCCACTTTTGTTAAAAAAAAAACACTCCCCTTTTGGTGATTTAGGTACATTAGGTACAATCTACATTGCAGATTCCTACCTTTTGTTAATCTGGAGAAAGAGCTGTTTGTATACATGTGCTGAGTGAATCTCTATGGGAGTGGTTTTATAATTATTAGTCAGCTGCTGCACCTGCAGGGCTCTAATAAGAAAAACTGCAAGGTCTGCATACCTTTAGACGTGATTTCCCTTAGGGAGTATATCACCAAAAATGAAATTTTTGTTGCTGGGGATGCCAAAATCTGATTTGTATCTTAGTGCAGACCTCTGGGAAAATCAGTAAGCTAATGACACAAGCAGGAAATGACTTATCTGGGGGCGTTCTGTACACCATCTGTGTACAGAACACCTCCAAGTTGCCATATTGCATTGCATTTTACAGAAAATTACAGCACTGCGGACTGAAAAGGAAAGGTGATTTTTAATAACCTTCAATTACAATATGACTTTTGTAGCAATTGTATGTGCTATATTATTATTAATTTTTTTGCTAATTGTCTTCTCCACAAAAATGGAGTTACCTTTTAAGGATGAAAGATGAACTTCAGGCAAGCTGCTAAAGAATAGCTAAAATAAAATGTTACCTACAAAAAAAACTGCAATGCTGCTCCTGTGATTCAGACAACACACTCTGTGATTGGAGAATGATTGGAAAGCAGCACACTAAAAGGCTACATTCACACCTAAGCTTCTAAGCGTTTTTGAGAGTTTTTTTGGTGCAGGATTGCACATTGTTGCAGCTTTTGGCAAAAAAATTTCCAGGCGTTTTAAACTAAAAAGGTGTTGAGTGTTGCTGTTTTGAGCACAAAACATGTGACAAAATGTGTGAAACAAACGCTAGAAAAAAGCTCATGTGTTTCCATTGAAGTCTGTGGGGGCAAAACCGCTCAATTATGCCTGAAAAGTAGCTCATGTATTTTTTTTGAGCAACAAGTGTTTTTCTACAAGTGACAGGACGCTCAGCTGTGAACAAGGGCTATTGAAAACAATAGGTTTTTGCTTGTTGAGCATTTTTTAGTTTCATGCTCAGTAAACAGGGGCCTAAGGTTATTATTCTGCTCTGTTCTCCTGTCAGGAAATTTCTAGCAATTGGTAGGAATAACTACAATCCAGTACTGGCTAAATTAAGTGCTCTGTTGTATTGTTTCAGCAACTTCTTCATCTGTCTTTTTACTTGTGTTAAAACTACCTGAGAATTTATGATCCACACTTTGCAATGTTTAATATCAGATATTATGCAGTGTCATTTGGATGCAAGCTGAATTCTTTGTGAATTTTATTCTGCTAATAAAGAACCTAACCTTAAAAATAGAAGAACTGCTACAATCCTAGCGAACCACCAGTTATCTTTACTTCCCTCTTTGATATCACCAGCACAGGGTTTCATCAAGGAAGGATGCTCAAGACAATACCCTAAAAGCTTTGAACGTACAATGTTGGGCTACTATGCACAATAAGGAGGAGTTTTACCTGTCAATGGAATCCAAAAAGGGCATTTTACAGGTTGGTCTGGAACTACATGAAAGCAATCCAAGCATCAGTGGGCATAAAGGGAAATATGGTTGCCAGAATCTTTGCATATCAACACAGATCTTGATATAAAGGGTTTTGATATAAACTAAAAGAGAACACAAACTCTGCCAATAACATACTATTGTTCCTCATATTATGCTTTGTAACTTGATCAACATCTTGGAGGGTTTCAAAAAAGCTCCAACCTCAAAATCATCTATTCCAAATCATTTGAATTAAACCTAACCCTCCTCATGGCAGTAGTGATACCAACTTTCCATTCTTGTGGAGCGAGGATGCAATTATATACGTAGGCATACAGCAACCTTCCAATGGAATATCTGTACTTACACACCATTCATAGGAGATATCTATCATGATGTAGAGGGCTGGAGTGTCCACTCAGCTAATAGGAACTTGGAACAAAGTTCAGTGCATCAATTATTAGGGTCATTACTGTAAATTGGTCATAAGCATATCCCCATCATGAACCTTGCCCACCCACTCAGAGGGCCCACCCTCTGAGTGGGTGGCAAGCTGCAAGTTCCTATCCATGTTATCCTCACCAGGTCCTTTCAATCCTTGTATCTGCACATAGACCCAAACTGGGATTGTCTCCAAAGTTCTTGAAAAAAACAGTGATCCAAATCTCAATTTAGAGCATATCAATTCTTTAAAACTTTATAATTCCAGTATAGAACAGAATTAATATACTAACCAAATCCCCATGTGGTCAGACTTTGAAATCTTACCACTCACTCCCATGGAATCCTTATGCATGCAAAAGACCCCTCAAAGATGGCTTATCTCTAAGATTATAATTATTATAATTTTGGTTTACTAGATAAACTACATGAATTAGTGTTTAAAGAGTTACTTTATTACTTTTTATATATTAGAATGAGCTAAAATGTACTGTAAACTTATATTTGATTTAGTAAAATATGAATGCAGTTGTTTAAAGTTTTGTGCCTTTGACTTCAAGCAACCTTGGCACTACAGAAACATGTAGAGTCTAAAACACAAATTCAAGTCAACAGTATTCTGTAGCACACCAAGGCTGTCAGCTTGGATTAGACAGGCTAATATCTAAATAAAAAAGAACACCTGCAAGGCAAAAGCGCTAAGGGATACTTTTTTAAATAAACAATAATTACATCTTGCATTTTTTTACAGCGGCTTACGTAAATTATCTAATTCAGGGATAATGGAATTAATCATTATTAAAATATGCTACAGATATAATTACACTAAATATAAATTAACATTAAATGACACGTCAGAGAAAAATGGAATCTGAAATTGATACTTTGCTATTGGAAATGCTTGATCGTTTCTGGCTTCACTGTTTGGAAATAGTTAGGTCATAACTTTCTATGACATTTGCCAGTCAGTGAATCCTGATTTCTGCAGAGGCTGATAGTGTACTATTAACTGTACACTGGCCAGACTGTTCTTTGTGCAGTCTGGGAACAGAATATTGACTGATGGAGAGTGACATTCAGACAGCATTATTGCATGTGACTGGACATTCAACCTTTTCAGTTGGAATTATTACCAAATGCCTACACCTCACCCTCTTTCTCTGGATTATTAACTGCATCAGGGCAATGTAGGATTTCAGGCACCACAGCTTCTGACTTGTTGGAAATGCTAGTTATCGCTCCAGTGTTTCTTCAAGCAAAATTACAACTCCTAGAAGCTTATTTATGCTAAATTGACACTAACTGATACCCTTATTCTCCAAAAACCATTCATTCAGAACCACTATTTAATGGCTCTGTATTTATTTTTCATGAAATAGTTTATTGCTGTGTTTTTCTGCCTCTCCTTTTCCCCCTCACTTCCATTCTGTTTGGAATGAGCATTGCACTTTAGTTGCGGTCATGTTCACTGCTCTAAGCACAATACAAATCCCATAGTATATAGCCCATCTCAGCAGTACGCAAGAGAAGATGGCTACATTCCTGCATACAGCAGGACTATATGTTTATGTGCTACACAAGTATGAAAGCAGGCTAAATGCTAGAGGCTATGTTTGCACTAGCTTTGTTAGCAGGTGATAGACAGGTGTTTGGGAAGCGGTTTTTAAACACTTATGAAAATTCTACAAATGGCAGCACACAGTGCTGTTCACACTGAAGCGTTAGCGTCGCAGCAAAATTGACACCTCATGTCCAGTCAGGAGGAGTTGATGCCTCCCATTCAAGTCTATGGTGACACTCCTCAAATGCCTGGCAGGCGCTTGTGGAGCGTTAATACCATTAAACTTCATTATAGGCGTTTGTGGTGCGGTTTTAATGCTTGGCAAACGCCTATCAAATGCTTCAAAAATGCACATAGGGCATTTTGGGAGCGTCTGAGTAGCATTAAAAATGCTTCCCAAATGCCTGTCTAACTCCTGTCAAATGCTATAGGAGCATTTGGCAAGCGTTAGAAACTAGTCAAGTGTGAATGAGCATTTGGGGAGCGTTAAAAATGCTTCCCAAATGCCTGTCTAACGCTTGTCAAACGCTATAGGGGCGTTTGGCAAGCCTTAGAAATTAGTCAAGTGTAAATAAGCCCTAAAATAACCGTGCGGTTGTAAGTTTGTGACAGCAGTTTGGGGCAAGCCCTTTTCTGTTCCAGCATGACTGTGTTCCTGTGCAGACGGCCAAATCAATGAAGATATGACAAGTTTTGATGTGGAGGGATTTAAATGACCTTCAAAGAGTCCTGACCTTAACCTTAATAAACACCTGAAATGAATTAGAATTCCAATTGCAAGCCAGGTCTTCATTTCCACCATGACCTCAAAAATGCTCCTTTAGCTAAATGGATGCAAATTTCCACAAACACACGTGCAAAGGAAAGAAACAATTCCATGCTAAAGGTTAAGTTCACCTTTGGAACATGCTACATATTCCACCTGTATTTAGGGTGGAACATGTAACATGCTCCAGCTCCTGCCTCCTCTCCCCCCCTCTCTGTGACAGCGGGTGGGGGTTCTTCACCTCACACCCACTGTCACTTTTAGAAAATAGCACAGCTATGTGGGCCTTCGCCCACAAAGTCACATCATTAATGCTCTGATTCCTGTGAATGAATAAACTACATGTACCGTCTGCCATCACAACAGATGGACTTGTAGTACCAATGGGCTGCAGAGGTGATGGTAAGCACTCTCGTAGTCCTCAGACTTGCCCTTCAGATTTTAAACAGAAAGCCTGTACAGAAGTAGGGGCTGAAAGCCAAGGGTTATATCTGCAGAAGCCCACATTGTACCAGTGATATACTGATTGGGTGTGCAATGTTTTCCAGGCTCCTGCAGGGAAAAATAATAAATGCACATTTTTTACTGCAAAAATATGTGCCTATATTATTTTTTTTGTAAAGGTGCACTTGTCCTTCAATGCCCATTGCTTTGAAATGGGATGTACAACAAGTTTATATAGTTGTGATGGTCTGGTATCCACAAACACATAGTATAACGCATGTACAAATCTGTACTGAACCTGTCAACTTAAGTATATTTAACACTGCAATGACAACTGCAAAGACAAATGGAACAAGATGTGTTTGAAGGTAATAAGCTGCTAAAAGTACATTATGATATTACCTCAAACATCAAATTTTGACATTGTTAAACTAACCATACTGTCAAATTCCATTGCATTCTTAAGGATCGCAACTCTTGGCAGCAGCTTCATTACTAAATAGGTACTGTTTTGTGAATATAAAGGAGATGTCTAAACATAATACCTTTTGCAGAGGTTAAAATACAAATGTGATCGAATTTGATGTGACCAGGCAGTAGTTTAGTATGTCAAGAGTCCCATAAAATGTACAGTATCCTCCCAATGAACCTGTTAGGGTATGAAGTGTTGTTTCACAAATAAACTAAATTCATGCAAACTTTTGACTTTGTTTAAATTTTGATTGCCCTAGCAAAAGTGTGCCTGTTCCAATGCTGTGCATATTACAAACAATGCTAAGGACGTATCTTAGCAGGGATAACGTAAAGGAGAGAAGCTGAGTACAACAGTGGGTAGTATCTGCAAAAGAGTCAACAACATTTTAGTTTTACAAACATTCATACAAAAACTCTCATCAGTACATTTGATGACTTGACAAATGTGGTTCAAAATTACTTCAAAGTTTAATCTTTACCATAGAAGCATAGAAGAGTGGCAGCAGAAAAAGTGGACCGTTGAGTCTGCCCATTTTAAATGTTTTTGTGAGGTTTTTTTCGCTATACTTTTTGTCTGGGTTTAGATCTGTTTGTCCCAGGCATGTTTGTTTGAATGGATTAACTGTGGACTGACTCAATACCTCTGCTGAAAGTCTGTTCCGAGCATCAACTACCCTTTCGGTAAAATAACACTTTCTAAGATTAGTAAGCACTCTCCTCCCTTTTTTCGTATTGAAAATACTGCCCTCCTGGACCTCATTCACCCCCTTCATGTTTTTAAAGGTTTCAGTCATGTCTCCCTTTTCCCTTCTTTCCTCTTGACTTAAGTTCCTGAAGTCTCTCTTGATATGTTTTATCCCTAAAACCTTTCACCATTTTTGTTGCACATCGCTGAATTTGTTCCATCCTATCGATTTATTTTTGTAACTGAAGTCTTCAGAACTGGACACAGTATTCTAAATGATCTACAGCGGGTAAAATAAGTATTGAACTCAGATGGTGGTGGAAAAACAAAGGCCAGGCACTGGTATCCTGGAAGAAGTCCAAAGCTTCTAAAAATAATTTCTCTAAATGTAAGGCTACTTAACCTCCCTGGAGGTATTCCCGAGTGTAGCTAGGGGTAAAGTTTCAGCACTACAAGCGGGAATACCCTACAGCGCTGCTCCGGCATCTCTTCTTCACTTACCTTGTCCTTCGCTCCCGCGATGTCCCTCCTGTAGGGTCCCCGGCAATGTCCTCTAGCCGATGCCGGCATCTGTCTTCCGTGTTCCGTTCCCTGCGACGTCGGGGCGTACGGGGACGGAACGGTGGGAAATTTGAAAAATTTAAAAGTGATATTCACTAAATTCACGAAAATCACATAGTAAAACATTACTGTATCAAACCATTTCACATACATTTTGGCCCTAGTGCTTTGTCCTGTGCCCTGCCTGCATTTTTACTGTACTTTCTGCCTTGAAACTGAGAAAAGTCCATGGCGTCCAAAAAGCGTCCCTTTAGGTCAAAAGCGGTTTTAGACCAGCTAGAGAACAGAGATAGTAAATTAGAACCACTTGCAGAATTGAGTGATAATGATTCGTGGGGAAATTCGTCAGCAGACACTGAAAACGATTTTGCGACTTTGCTCAGTGATGTGCGAACTGGCGCTCTATTTCAAATTTCAGTGTTTTTGGTTTGATTACATTATTGAATTAAATGTATTATTATTATATTATTTTTTTTAATGATTATTTATTAAATTATAATTTATGATTTTGTGTTTCAAATTTTATCATACCCGGGATGTTTAGTAGACTTCGGACAGATTTCAGTGAGTTATTCCTAAAAATTACAGGCCTACAATAAAAAAAAATACATATTTCCATGCAAAACAATGTACCACTTTGAGCACAGAAATATGGATATAATCAGACCGCTAGGGAGGTTAAATATGACACCATTCTTTTTACTTATTTTGAATAGGAAACAGCAGCACAGACATAACAAACTACATTTTAATTTGGGATTTACAATTGTGTTACTGATTATAGCTTATTTCTCCTTTTCTGTCCCCATAGCAGCTTGCTATGGGGGCACCCAAGCAGGCTCGCTCCCAAGCCGCTGCTCTGCATGTCCATTCACACACAGAGCCACCTCTCTCTCATTGGCTCACTGGGTGTAATTGCTCCCACTGCTGTCTCAGCCAATGAGGTAGGAGAGTCCCCAGAGAATCCGAGCTCTCATGCACATTGCTGGATTGTGATGGGGTTATAGTCAGTATTAGTGGGTGCTGCTGCACACAGAAGCTTTTTTGCCTTTATGCATAGAATGCATGAAGGTAAAAAAACCTTAAACCTTTACAACCACTTGAAGCTTTGACAATAACACCTAGAAGCTGATTGATTGCTATGCACTGCTGCACCAGATTCTGTGTGCACCAGCTTTAGTAAATCTCCCCCATAGATACTATGGAGAAGTGAGTGTAGACAAGGGGCTAGATGTGTATTATTTGTAGCATTGCCAGGTGGAAATGAGGGAAAAAAACAAATACAGCAACCACGTCTAAGGACTGGTAAGCTTTAATAAATTTATTTTTAGGTGGTTTAGATGAGCTTTAGTAGTGAACAAACACTGCAGTTCACATTTTAGCTAGTTTCAGCAAAAACAGAAGCACATGGCAGAACTAATCTGCAGGGAACCATTTGCATTTTTTAGGAGCACGAGGATTAAAGATGTCTATAATGTGGCAGATCATTTATCAGTGACAACAGAAGATCTGAAAACTGCCCATTCTCTTAACAGCTGCTGAAACTGCTCTACTCCCAATTCAATTTTTTTTTTCAAAAGCCTTTATAGACAGGCAGTGGCTAGACTTTTGAATGTGCTATAAGGTTGTGATTTTTTTTTTCACTTTGAGAATAGTGCATTGATTGACAAAATTATATAGCATGTGGTCATCATTAGGCTGTGAACACAAAGGCATATTTTTTGTCTTTTTTCTCTCCCTTCTAGTTTTGATTTTAGGACAAAAAAAAAGAACATTTTATCTCTGTAAAATTGGAATCTATGCACCCATGGCCACCAAAAAAAAGAAAGATACAAACAGGTACATCAAACAGGTACACATCATATTTTGATCCTTCTTTTTTCCTATTATATGACTATAGCAGTTGTAATTTGCTATGTCTATAAAAAGGAAAAAAACATTTGATTACTGCTGCCATCTTTGTGCAATTTGTGTTTTACTTCAGTGTGGAAAAAGACCAAGCATGATCCCCTAATTTACCCTGTCGGATTAAACCATTTTTGCATAAAATTAAGGAAGGAGACTTCTGAGTACTTCAGGACTAATGGTTCTTTGTGCCTAGTGGACCAGACAATGTTTTACATTCACCTATGTGCCAACTTATTTGGTAAAAACGTTGTTACTAATGGTACTGAAATAATTGTTTTTGGGACAAACAGTACTGTCACAGTCAGGGGGTCAGGCTTGGAGACCAGTAGCTATAGCAGTAGAAAGGCTCCCACCGACCAGCAGCACCACCAGAGCTCCTGATGGTGGAGATGGATTTTGCTCCATGTTAATACCAGGTTGCGGTCCTCAGGATTGCCCCACCAGGAGGTGAGCAAGCTGGGTCTAGCTGCAAATATAGCAGAAAGGGATCAAGCAGAAACATAGTAGACAAACCAAAGGTCGGTAATAAATGGGTGCAGGTTGGGATCAAGTGGTAGCGCAGTCGAAGAACTACCTGAAAGTCAATAACAAATGGTAGTGGAGATAAGGATAGCTGCAGGTATGCAAAGGAGCAAGATATCGGCTGGAGAGAGCACAATAATTTGGAAACAGGAAGTGTAAAGGCATTGCTCCAATAGGAAGTTCATGGGAGGAGAAAGACATAAAAGGTTCACAGGCACAAGGCAGGATTGTTCTAAGGATCAGACAGGGAGCTGGCCAGCATTTCAGGTGGCATGGCAAAAACAGCCACAGCCAGCTATCACAGAGGTCGCAGGTTCAGATCCTGACCCTGATACAGCACTGTCCGATGGCACATTTTTTTAATCCAATTATTTTCAAGCAAAATGAAAAGGTTTTCGTGTTTGTCTTTTAACAATATACCATGTAACAAATGAAATTAACCACTTGAAGACCAGGTCTATTTTGACACTTCTCTCATATGTGTAATAAAAAACAAATCAGTATTTTTTTGCTACAAAATTACTTAGAACCCCCAAGCATTATATATTTTTAAGCAGAGGCACTAGAGAATAAAATTATGAGTGTTGCCATTTTTTATGCCACACAGTATTTGTGCAGTGGGTATTTAAAAGCAATTAAAAGAAACACACTTTAATTAATTTTAATTCACAAAAACACCATATAATACCCAATTGTTTGGTAAAATATAAAAGATAATGTTATATCAAGTATATATCAAAATGAGATATGTAACATGTCACGCTTTAAAACTGTGCATGCTCATTAAATGGTGACAAACTACTGTGCTTAAAAATCTCCATCGACGCTTTAAAAGCCTTCACAGGTTAGAAGTTTAGCGTCAGAGAAGTCTAGTGTAGAATTATTGCTTTCTCTACATATTCTTTGCATGTGAACACGAGGGGGGGAGGGGGCTTAAAAAAAAAAAAAAAATATATATATATATATATATATACACACAGTATATATATATATTTTTTTTTTTCACACTATCTATATACGTTTTTAAATTACTTTTATTGCTATCCCTATGTATATGAACAAGGAATGCTTTAAAGTGCAGAGGAGAGATTTATTTAAAGCATCAGATAAAACCAAGATTAGTTTAACCAGATGCTTTCCCAAGCCAAAATTACTTGTATACTTTCTGGAGAAGCTGGAAGTGACAAAATACTTATCGCCTCAGTCTTGGGCTCTCCAGTGGGCTGGGAGAGCCTGGAAAGGCAACGGACAGCGGAGGGAGGGCACCCCGGCCACCGCTTGTAGCCACTAGGATTGCTTTTACTAAAAACAGCATTGCCACCTGAAAAAACAATACTTTCTAGTGTTGAAGGTCTAAAACGTCATCTGTGTCACCAAAAAAAATCTGAAAGAATGAGAATTATAAAATGGCTGCCATTGCTGACCTCCTTGTTAGAATACTAATTGTCTGACTATCTGTGTTTTCAATTTCTGTCAGTGAACTGGAAGAAGTCTGCATTTTTTTAAATTCTGTATTTTAATCTGACAACTACAGTGCTAAACAGAGGTATACTCCCATTATACGGCTGCAATAGCATCTGCAGGCTGAAGAGGTATGTTTGTGAATAAACCTCCAACCTGTTGGAAGCAATGGTGATCACATTATTAGGAACCGCACTGCTGCCAGCTGTCCTATTAATCTTTAAAATTTGAATGCTTAGTTCTACCAAAAAAGAAAAAAAAATATTTTTCCCAGCATTGGAGACTGTCTCATTTATGCTTATGGAATGTCAAACCCACCTATGTGATCTGAAGGGAGACAGAAGGAACTTTGGGCGGGTCAGATACTGTATACGTATGTGACTTTATTTGACTGTGAGGTATTTGTTTATTACAACTATCTGAGTTGGATATAATACCTGATGTAATGGTTTTGGTGGCATGTTGCGCCTCTAAAACAAAGCCTAATTCTGACAGAGACAAACAAAACACAAGATTAACTGTTAATTAGGAATTTGTTTAACAAGCTTATAAAACATGGTTCTGTAACAAGTAATTGTATTTTGTGTCACTGAATTGTTTAATGATAATGTAGTACAATGTTAGCATGCTGATAGAGACTCAAAAACTGAAGCCAAACATTTTCTTTTTATCTACAAAATGGTCTGCATAGCATAAGGCTTAACATTAATTCAAAAAACAAATTAAATACTCAAAACCCTCTGGGTCTGCCTCCCAACCAGAGAGAGATCTTCCCTTGGTGTAATATACAGACCCCCCAAGGCAAACTGAAGATTATTATAACTTCTTGATTTATAAGATAACTCAAATGGCAATGAAGGGGGAAGTTTTGATTATGAGTGCCTTCAACATTCCTGACATTGACTGGAATTCTCAAACTGCTATTACAAGCAGGAGCAGGGATATAATGGAAGCACAGAATGGGCTTTCTCTAAAACCATTAGTAAAAAGTCCAACCCGAGGTGATCATATTCTAGACTTAGTACTGACAAATGGGGATTGCCTGTCTAATGCTGAGGTGAGAGAAAATTTGGGTTCTAGTGATCACCAATGTCTTTGATTTGATATTAAAATAAGAACCGAAAAATCATATACAAAAACAAAAGCTTTAGATTTCAGAAAGAAGAATTTTGCTGAAATGGGTGAAAAAAAATGAATTGAAAGGTGGAGTAAAACAACAGGAGTAAGTAATTGGTAGGCACTGCTAAAATCTAACATCCTGG